CCCCCCCCCCCCCCCCCCCACCACTAGTTCATTAGTTAATTAGCGGGACACATAAGTAATGTGAGTGGACTGACCGGTGTTTTCCTCCTAATTTGGACAACAACAGGTGCCGAGTGGGATTCAAAGGCCGCTACTGCGATGAGTGCATCCGTTACCCGGGCTGCCTCCATGGGACCTGCCAGCAGCCGTGGCAGTGCAACTGTCAGGAAGGCTGGGGGGGACTCTTCTGCAACCAAGGTGAGGAGAGGGTCTGATAGGACGACAAGAAGCAAAAAGAAGGAGAGAGAGCAACAACGATTGGGTCATTTGCTGGTTGAAAGAGTTGAAGCCGGAGGCCTGAAGCTCTTTTAGATTCGGATAAAAGGTTAAAGTTTCCGTCGAATCTGCATTTCAGTGGCTGTTTGACATTTTGAAACACGGCCGATGAAATTCGTTTGACACAAAGATTATTTTTAACCTACGTGTCCAAAAAAAACCCACTTTTCAAGCCAAGTTTCAGCTCAAGCAACTTATTATCTTTCGACCTGCAAATTGCCAAAAGTCGCTCTGTGTGTTTATCAGCTGAAACCTATGAAAACTCACGGGGGAAGAGAGTTACAAGTTCCCAGAGCGAGCGTCAAATCTCTTTGGTCTTTAATCGCTGAACACGTTTTGGTAAAGTTCAAAAGTTTGCAAAGGGACAAAAGGGGAGCGAAGCGAAGTTAGCAAGACGTTCAAATCCCAACATGAAAGTATCAACAGTGATATAAAAACAACAACAGAGCAGCTGTTGTCTCCGGGTGAGGACAGAAACCGAAAACCTCTGGAAAAGAGAACGAGTCGAGTGTGCTGGAGGCCGAAAATACATTCTCGCTTCTCTCGCTCTGCTGCTGTTGTCCTGCCAGTTGTTGGACTGTGGCTAATCCACACATGCTGCTGTGTCTTTTTCCAGATCTCAACTACTGCACTCACCACAAGCCCTGCATGAATGGAGCCACTTGTAGCAACACCGGCCAGGGCAGCTACACCTGTTCCTGCAGGCCTGGCTTCACTGGGGCCAGCTGTGAGATCCAGGTCAACGAATGTGCTGGAAACCCCTGTCGCAACGGGGGGAGCTGCACTGTGAGTGAAAACTACTTGAAATGGCACCTCAGCATTTCTGTGAATACGCAGCAAGCTGCAACTCACAGAGTGAGCCGTCTGCGACAGCTCTTTACCGCCTCTATTTTTTCCCTCCGCAGGATTTGGAGAACACATATACCTGCACTTGCCCTCACGGTTTCTATGGCAACAACTGCGAGCTGAGCGCCATGACGTGTGCAGACGGGCCCTGTTCCAATGGAGGCCGCTGTGCTGACAACCCCGACGGAGGCTACTTCTGCCAGTGCCCCACAGGATACGCAGGGTTCAACTGCGAGAAGAAGATCGACCACTGCACGTCCGGCCCCTGCTCCAACGGTAAGACGGACGAGAATGAGTGAACAGGGACGACTGTTTTCCTTCTCCTCTGTGGAATCAAACATTAACGCCACTCTTTGTCCCTGTTCTCAGGTGCACGCTGCGTGGATCTCGTCAACTCTTACCTGTGTCAGTGTCCGGATGGTTTCACTGGCATGAACTGCGACCACACCGGCGACGAGTGTTCCATGTACCCTTGCCAGAATGGTGGGACGTGCCAGGAGGGTCCCAATGGCTACACCTGCACCTGCCCACCGGGATACACTGGTCGCAACTGTAGCTCACCCATCAGCCGCTGTGAACACAACCCTTGCCACAATGGCGCCACCTGCCACGAAAGAAACAACCGCTACGTCTGCGCTTGTGTTCCTGGCTACGGTGGCCGAAACTGCCAGTTCCTGCTTCCAGAGCACGCCGCCATTCGCGGATCAGAAGTTCCCTGGATTGCCGTTTTGTCCGGTGTGGCCCTGGTACTGCTCCTTCTGGCGGGATGTGCCGTACTTGTTGGATTTTTCCGATCAAAAGTCCAGCGCGGCGATCAAATCGAAACGGTTGGTGAGGGAGAGACAATAAATAACCTCACCAACAACTGTCACCGCGGTGACAGGGACCTGGCAGTCAGCATGATACCGACGCCGGGCGTCAAAAATATCAATAAGAAGATGGACTTCTGCAGCAGTGACCCAGATGAAGGGTCCTCACCGGGGAGAAGCAGCTACAAGAGCCGCCACCCGCCTGCAGACTACAACCTCGTACACGAGGTCAATTATGAGCAGGCGGCTAAAGAGGCCATGCTGGACGCAGCCTGCGAGGACAAGTGTCAGTCCCTGGACTCGTTTGAGTTCGAGGAGAAGCGCAGCAAACGTTTAAAATGGTAAATATTTCAAACTGCTAAAGCTGACCTGAAGTCTGTGGCTGCGAATGCGACGAAGCTGACATCTTTTCTCTCTCTCTCTCTCTCTCTCTCTCTCTCTCTCTCCTGAAGCGATGCATCAGAAAAGAAAGCCCCAGAAATGTCTGCATGTGCGGACACCAAGTACAAATCTGTGTTTGTGATGTCAGAAGAGAAGGACGAATGTATAATTGCAACTGAGGTGAGTTTGGTGCTTCCGCTGAAATAAACACTTCTCTCCGAGGTCGTTCCACCAACAAACACTTAACCTCATTCTGTCGTCTCTTGTGTTTGCAGGTGTAACGAGCCACCAATGGGCTGCCCGTTGCTCATTTGCTCTATGGGAGAGTTTTTATACTCCTTCAGATGCTGCTCTAACCCTAGGGGGAGGTGTCCCACCTTGAGACTGCTGCTGATACTGAGACGTTTAACTGATATTCAGAGTGAGCTGGTTCTCTACTGGAAACTAAGTGCAGGCAGCGGCGGCCTGTGGGATAAGAACTGGCGGGGTTGAAATAGAGAAGTTTACGGTTAAAAAGTAAACTGCCACTTAGCTTTCTGTTCTGCCTTTTGTCAAGGAGTGGGGGTGAAAATTAAATATTAGGGAACGCCGGCGATAACACGCGACGCCACCGAGTTTTTTTGCAACATTTGCACCCAGGCCTTTTCTCTAACCCACACGCCGTTGCTGAGCGCAGGAACTGCATCAAACGGTGGATGTTTGGCCATAGTGGCCTGTTCTTCATGAGGCTGTTCACATGGGCTGTGCACCCATCACCACACCTGTGAAGACTGTATGTATACTTGATCACTGTGTTAACTGAAGTGCGTTTTTCTTCCCGGAGCCCTCCAAACCATTTATGACATAGTATTGTTCATTTAATT